AGCCACCTCTGTACCAACAGTCTCATATCTGCTCAATAATCGGGTTTTCGGCCTGGTGACTCAACAATTAATCAATTACTATTCATTACCCATAAAATTTACACTGATTTTGAAGAAACTCCTAGCAGGGAAACACGTGCTGTCTTTCTCGATTTCTCTAAGGCATTCGACAAGGTATGGCACGAGGGATTACTCTATAAACTTGAATGTAATGGTATATCTGGAAATCTTCTCAAATTGATTAAAGATTATCTCACTTGTCATAAGCAGCGGGTCTTGTTGAATGGGAAGAATTCTGAATGGGTGGATATATTGGCGGGAGTGCCCCAAGGATCGGTTCTGGGACCGCTCTTCTTTCTTGTATATATTAACGACATTGTTGAGAATGTAGGGTGCGAAATAAAGCTATTTGCCGACGACGCATCGCTTTTTTCAGTTGCCTATAATGAGGCTAAAACTGCGACTATGGGCCTGGCAATGGAAAATGAAATTTAATACTGAGAAAACGGAAGAAGTCAATTTTTCTGTCAAGGGGGTTAAACCAATCCATCCGCCATTGTCTTTTGGCAATGATGATGTAGCAAGAAAGAGCGAACATGAGCACCTTGGTATGATCTTGGACTCAAAATTAGATTTTAAAAGCCACACAAAAGAAGCTATACAAAAAGAGAGGCGCGGCATTGGGATGATAAGATACCTCTCCAAATACATTTCGCGGGATGTCTTGGATCAAATATATAAGCTTTATGTAAGACCGCACCTTGATTATGGTGATATTATTTATCATAAATATGACCCCCAAGTGTGCTTAAACTTCGAAATGTGAGACAGTTTGACCAAAATGCTGGAAGAACTGCAAGATACTCAAACACTTATTTTCAAAATGCACCTTTTGAGTGGAATCTTTTGGATGATGAAACAAAAAAATTCAACGTCAATTTCTGAATTTAAGTGTAAAACTAATTGCTATGATAAGACCAGAAGATAATTCAATATATGGTATTGTAGTTGTTAGACACTTGTCAAAATTGAGATTGTCATTCAGTGTTCTCAATGAAGACAAATTCAGACATAACTTTAAATGTCTAAGTCCTGTTTGTGTGTGTGGTATTGCTAATGAAGATAATGAACATTTCCTCCTGAACTGCCCCATCTTTGAAGAAGCACGAAGAGATCTCCTTGGCAGCTTGTTGGAGATATTCCTGGGGTTGATTTGGCAGAACTGGATACACAATCCTTATGTCATTTATTACTTTTTGGAAATCCAGGTCTGACCCCAATCGCAAATAGACTAATAATGGAAGCAACAATTAATTTTATCAAGGTAACCAAAAGATTTGGCTGAGGCGCGTGTTTAGGCTGCTGGGGACGGGTCCTCTGCTTGTGGCGTGGTGGCCTTGGGATCCCCTATTATTTCGGGGGTTCCCATGGCGGGTGCGCTTTGGGACTGGGCTTGTTCCTAGTGGCTTGGGGCGTGCTTCAGATGTAAACAAAGCAGCACCCCTTTCCCTCAACACTGAACAATTGTCTTTGAAGAATATTCCTGTCTCGCGCTTGATGTCGGGTGATACCTGCTGAACTCTGATGGCGGTCTGACAGCGTGGGTGCGTGGTGTGGTGCCGTGTGCTTGCGTCCTTCCGACTGACATTTTGTTCTGCGGATGTTGCTCCCCGTCATTGAGTGTGAGTCAGAATGTAACGTTTTCGTTGTTGTTCATTCTTTGTTTGTTTTCTTTGCTTTGTTGGCTTTTCTTTCTTTGAATATTAAATTCAAATTGTAAGTGCCCGTCCTTGGAGGGAACTCCGATGACCCAGTGTCTATTTCCACCAGGATGGGCACAGTAGTTGTATCATGTATTATTTAGAGTTTTTTTTAAGTAATATAAAAACATAAAAAAAATTAAGGGCCTGGTTGGGAAATTCCCAACTAGTTTGTACGTTGTAGATTCCTTGAAGCCTGCGATTGCAATAATTGGTATCAATGTCAAATTATTGAATTCTGTAGAAATCACAAACAATATACACACACATTGACCACAGCCAGTTTGTTTCTCTTTGCTTTTCCTCGCCTTTCTTGTGTTACGCATGCGTCGTCATAAAGCTATTCCTGGTTCGCCGCTGATTCCGTTTACATTACCAGATGGACAGTTTCCAGTGTAAACACATCAGGGTTCGACCCAGCGAGGCCCCGGCTAACTTTTAACCTAGGGCGAACCCAGGTTAGGTAGTGTAGTTTAAACAGTTTTTATCAGATTCATGGTCAAGGACACTGGCCTTTCTTCAGTGAAGCTCTCTACAGTGGCGGTTCCAGCCTGGGATACGTTGGGGGGGGAGGTTGTTGGGGCGAAAGGCGTGTCAGGAACCAACCCCTTTTGTTTGGACCACGCCCTTTTTCCCTGTCTGAAACATTTTCTTCCTGAGGAAACACCTTTTGTCATTTAAATGTGACGATCCAGTTAACGTTCAAACCCCCCTCCCTGAAGTTTTCTCATCAGGTTTGCAAGAATCTCAAGGACCAACTTTTTAAAAAAGTGGTGGGACTAGTCCTCCATACCCCTCGTGGCTCCACCACTGGCTCTCTAGCAACCTAGTTATAGTTTGTTTTAGGTTACAGTTTGGTTGAAGTCACATTCAGATTTTTTCAAAAACTTGTGTACAATGTACCCTGACAAGTATTGTTGGTCATCAAACTCTATCGCTCTATGGCAACGGCTTTCTAAGGCCACTTGTTGTGGCCTCTTGAAAAAATTGGACAATTTGTCTCCCAATTTTTTAACAATAACGTTGCATGAGGTGAGGTGGTTGCAAGTCTTGAACAAGCACATTTGGAAACTGCACAACAGTTCCGACAAACATAGAAAAAAACTTCTTGCCAATCGCTACTGTCAGATGAAACTGCATCAATGAAATTGTGATGAAAAATCGAATCACGTAGGGCTTTTTGTTAGCAGATGTTTTATTGAAATCAGTTTGCGACAGTCTTTCAAACCGTGGTCGTGTTTCTTTATGTGTCGTGTTTAGTAGTGTAGTGCTATCAAAATAACAAGAGGGGCCCTTGCAAAAAATGTTCCTAAAACGAATAGCAAAAGTACAAATTGGCTTATTTTCGGTAGCCTTTTTTTTCGGCAGATGAACTTTTTTGAGCCACACCAACTAATGCAAGAAAATCAATTATTGGCGGTTGTGGTTCTCTATTTAAATCAAGGATTCTATGTATGGAGTTAAACTCTGCACAATAAGAGCAAAACAGTGGTTTTATTTGTAACTCTAAGAAAGTCTAATAACATTTCAAAATAGCAATCCTAGTCTGACAATTTTTGCAATATTTTCAAGCGAACCTAATATATATATATATATATTGCCATGATTTGATTGCCATGAATACGACAGAAAGTCGAAACTAGTCGGCAAAATTTGCATTTTTACTAGTGTACACGTCTTTTCAACTGTACAATATATATATAGTATTCTGAAATTGAGCCAAGAAAATAATCAAAAGTTCAACCTGCATGTTCTTTTCTTTTATGTGTCATCTTTTAATTTGTCTAGGTTAGTATCTTGGCTACAATTTGAAATCTAGTGACCTACAAACTTATTTACACTAATACATCATTGAGAGAACTTAAAACGATACAGATTCCTTAGTCTGTACCAAACTTTATTATTCTAAACACGTTGTTCATTTAACAATTAGCAAACAGAAAAACTTCATTATAACTTTTAAGCATGCACCTTGCAGTGGCTTTCAGAGAAAAGAAAAACTTAAAGGGCAGCAGGGGAAGGTCTTTAACTGTTGCTTAATACTTTCAAGGAAGGAACTTTCGCGGAAAGAATTTTTACAGGAAAAAACTTGCGAGGGAAGGAACCTTTGCGTTTTTTAGCGTTTATGGCCTAAAATCGCAGATGATTGATACGCAAAATATCCTGAAATACTAAATTTGCGAAAATTTATTTTTGTTAAATATCCAGAAAATTTTGCTGTTGATCCTCTTGAAAACTTTGACGAATAATTATTCTGTTGGACAAATTTTACATCTTTTTCGTTGTTTTGCTGGTATCACGTGGAATAGAAATAGAAGGAAACCTCGATTGAATAGAAATGTTTTTCACGCAAAGTCCATGATTTTCGCTAAAACGCGAAAGTTTGTTTTTGCAAAGCTCCTGTTTTGCTTCTTTAGCAAAGTTGATTCCAAAAATTTCCCAATTTGAGAATCCTTCTTCCTGCGCAATTTTTTCCCTGAAAGTGATATGACCCTAGGGAACGTTCGATCATGTGTGGAAGGTCATTATTAGCTAGAAATGTAACAATGGCGACTCTAGACAACTAACTAAAAACAACAGCTCCTTGATCTCTACATACAGTTTCAAATCATTTCTCTAGGAAGTAGGACAGATTTCTCTTTGTGTGAAATTTGAAATAGAATTTCTATATAGTGGATGTTGGTCATAGTGGGGCACTTTGGCCTGCGCGTAGACTTCATTTTGATGCTTAGTTGTGAAGCCAGCACGCATGTTAGGGGCCTTGACTGTGACTTTAGTTTCCAGTTTATGAAAATTATCTTCTCCACTCCAACTTTTGCAGACAAGGCCCGTAATTTTCTGTATTTTACATGTCTTAGGGCCCGGTAGGGATCGCCATTTTGCCACGCGGGCCAGACCGCGCCTGGCCTTTAGCACGAGAGAGTTTGAACGATCATCAATTATTCTCGTTAGGTTTTTCATAAATTTCAACCGTGACTGGTGTTGTCATCAACAACCGATAATATCTATTTGAAAATGGCTAAACTCTATGTCTTTCTTCTAAAAATTTCCCAGTTTCCAAGAGGTTGACGACAAAACTTCAATTTTCGAAGATTTGCCGACAAGGTTAGGGTCTGGGGGGTGTCACACCCCCCCCCCCACAACCCCTCCGTAGCGACGGCCCTGCGCTGACTTTCACATACACTCGTACCGGATGTACTGGTACAATTTTTGGGGGTACTTTTTCAAGTACAAAGTATAAATTGGGGTATCGATTTTGTTACGATCAAACATGGCACACGCCAGTCCTTTGCCTATTTAAGTTACCAACCTTTTTATGTTCTAACATTCTATTAGCATGTATGCTTCAAATGATGAAGAAACAGATAATGACTATCTTGACTTATGAGGAATAAATCTCTACTACTGTTGTTATTGAGTGACATTGTTTTATTATATAAACATTTCAGAACAGATTTCATTTTCTACACAAGCGTAAAATCAAAACATGATGTCATCATGCCAATATCATAATGGCATCATGCCAAAATTTCGCAATCATTTGAAATATGTTTGGCATAATCGTTCCCAGGCCCTCTGAAATCCCTGACTCAGCTTGAAACAAAAGTATTAACAATGGGACTTTTTTGGAACTCTGCTTCACGGATTCCATCGGGTCGGGTTCAAAAGCCAGGTCGCAGGACAAAAGCGCTTTCTGGATTCGCTCCGGTTGTCTGGAAACCGTCTGGACTGCCTGAGCACAGAATGCATGAGCACAGAATGCATGAAGTTGGTTGCATTGAGGTGCATGGCACAATGCAAACCTGATCTGCTATGAAAGAATTGCTAACCGCAGGGCTTTATGTTCTTATCTGCAAATGATCCATCACGAGAATAAATTCCAGTCGGTTGGTGAAGCTTGTGCGCGCAGGATCTTGACTTTGGATCAAGTAGATTGATAGCTTCGCGAGTAAAGCAGTGTGGTGATTGTGCAAGGTTATAGAGGTAAATTGCATTTTGTGTTTCGGGTTGGGTTGACGTTAGCGACTTTGCACCTTCTTCCACATATCCTTTTTCCATTTTGCACCTTTGATCCACAAAGACTTTTTTTAGAAATGGACCTCAGTCTGAAAGCTTCGTGTTGAATTAGTCTAAACTGCTCGGTTGCGAGTTTGTACGTTTTGAATATTTGGATATTTCATGAGATTTGACTGGGATGCTGCTGCAATGAAAACAATCCCCTGCAGCAACAACTTCCATTGAAATGAGATGCAGTGGAAAGCTAGATTCTGAGTAACAGTGTAATTCACGTTCTGACTGCCCGACCCGATCAATATGAATATTACAATTCTTTGATCCTGTTTTGGCAAATGTGAAGATAAGACATTGACAACGCCAACTGCGAACCATGAATTGGCCCTGTCAAGTGCTGGAAATGCATCACGCTCCCCTACGATCCAGTGCAATTTAGGCCTGTTTCGTGTTACGTAACATATTCACTCACGCTGAGCCCGATGGGTGATTCACTCTTGCAAATGGCGTACGAGATTTTGCCACTGAACAGTTGATTTTGCTTATAACAAAAGGATTTCTGGGGATTTTCAGATAAAACAATGGGATTTTCATGAAAGATGTACGAGATTTTCTTAGTGTAATTTGCCCCTCGGCTGAGCCTACTATGATTCTCATTTCAATATTCGCAGCACTAATGAATCTGCTTCTCTTTTAAAATGTTGTGCTCTTGCCCTTTTCTCAAAGAACTCAAGCATACATACCAACATTCTCATATGAGATTGAGAGAGCTTCATCAAAATATAATTGATAATACCGTTACACGTTGGAGGTGGTTGAGGGCCAGGGGCGTTGTGGCGAATGAATTCTAAAGGAGGCCAGAAAGAAAAATTTTCTGACAAAGTTTCTTCGATTTATTTTGATCAAATAGAAGCATTTCATGTTAGTGTAATGGGGAGGAGAGAAAAAACATAACCTTTGCCTTAGCTGGAAAGATATTTTAAACGCATTTTTATCTTGCTTTTGTTTCTTCATTTATACTGTGAAAGCCCCTGAACAGAAGCGTTGAGAGGGGGGTCAGCAGGGGCAAAAGGTCCGTGGCCCGTAATAAAGTGGCAAGATCTATTTACAATGCTAAAAAGCTACAATTTCAGCTTCTTATATCGAATCAACGTCTGTAAGTTTATTGCCAAGAAAGTCCACGGGTCCTTGATTGATGTAAAATGTATTTGCACATTCTTGTAAAAGTCCTTAAAAAACTTTCTCTACAATTGTAGCTAAAAAGGCGTTTTCCATGTTCTCCGGGAGACTGAAGAGCGTTGCCACAGGAAATTTTCTTGAGGGGGTCCAATTTTGTGAATCACCCCCACTGGAAAACCAGTAAATTATTTTTGATATCAATAAAAATTATCCTTCTTTAACACCTGTGAGAACACAAGGGACAAGGATGCAGAAAAAGACGCATGGAAAGCACAGAGGGTAAAGAAGGACAATTTCTATTGATAACAAAAATAATTACCTGGTTTCCCTGTGGATTGCCCTGCTCTGAAATTTTAATCCAATAAAGGGTTCGTTTGACTAAAGGGCTCACAATATGTCACTAAAGGGTTTGGTTGACTTCTCCTTTTTACGAACAGCTCAAGTTTGAGAATTTTCCGACATAACAATCATTTTTCCGAAAATCTGTCAAGTTTTGACAGCAGAGGGGGCCACGGACCCTGCCCCCCGGCCACGACGCCCCTGTTGAGGGCAAGAAAACTTGTGACGAATCAAAGGTTCATTCTAGCTTGCTAGGAAATCAGGAAAATTACCAATAAGTAAAAAAAACATTATTTGAAAAGTTTAATCATCTGCAAATTACAACAGTAACATAAAAAAAGTTCTGACGATCGATATATCATCAAAATAGTATTTACTCTGGCATAAAATCATTGAAAAAGTATAAGTGTATAGAAAATATGCATGTGTTAAATAAATATACTAGAAATAGCTCTTGCTAGTACTGCCCGCAAACAATTAGTTCCTTGATAATGATTGTTTTGAAAATGTAGGTCAGGATATTCGAAGAAGACACCATCTTGGGTTTTCATAATTCTATAAAAACAGCTGCTTTAGTTGATGCTAAACTTTTCTTTTTATCAAGAATTTTTGGTGTTCAGTTTGCCTTTGATTTAAGTCCAACGCCCTTTTGAAAATCATGAAGTTTTTCGAGGGTTTGACATTTATTTTTCGATAATCACGAAAATCATAACTTTTGCTCGTACGGTCTCGAGTTTTTGGGAGAAAAGTGTGGCATTCGACTAGTTTTGATTCCCAAAACTTCGAATCAAAACTTCCATCCATTGCGGAGAACAGAGCTGTGATGCAGCACCGTTTTCGTGCCAAAAAACCGAAGGCCTTTAACAGAGTCTTGGCAGAGCAACGCTCCGAAGATAATTCCCTTCCGCACAAAGAGGTGGCGGTTAACGACCTCGACAAAGCCGATTGATTGACAATGAAATTGATTGACAGTTGTCATGGCAGCAGAAAAGTGACAAAATCTGCTGAAAAAGTGCTGACAACATGAACTGAAGCTTCCATATGCTACTTATACTTGTTGGGGAGACGAGCAAGAGAAAGTTTTTTAAAAAGTGAGGCAACCCTCCGTCATGGAGTCAAAGAGCATGCGCACAAAACGAAGTTATTATTACGCATGCTCTCTGAATCCAGGACGGAGGGTTGCCTCACTCATTTAAAAATTTTCGCTCGCTCGTCTCCCCAACAAATACGCGGGGCAGACTATAAGCCCTTCACTCGCGCGCTATCGCGCGCGAGTTGCGGGCAATAAATTTATACCGCGAATTTAATTTTTGAGCCGCATGAGGGCTTTCGCATGTAAAAGGGTGCATGTAAAAGTGGGCTTCACGAATAGGGTGCTTTCCAGGAGTTCAATGTTATTGTTAAGATAAATTGTGGTGTCGGGGAAATTTATTTTTTCTCTAGATTGTTGTGCTTCAAATTTAATCGTGTTGTGCACATTGTTGGTATGAGCAAGGAATTCAGTGAGGGAAGCTTCCTCATATTGCCATATCATAAAAATATCATCGATAAATCGATTCCAGAGTAGAGGTTTCTTTCCCTCGGGGGCTGTGGAGAGGATATTTTGTTCAATAACAATCATAAAGAAGTTTGCAAAGTTTGGGGCAAAAGGGGTACCCATGGCAGTGCTAGCAATTTAATTCACGGCTCGCTAATGTTTTCTTATCTTTGTCGGCTTTCTTGAAGAGCCTTTGTTTGACTGCGACCAAAAGCCAGGTGTTTATTTTCGGTATGTGGATGACACATTTACCATTTTCAAAACGGAGGCTGAGTGCGATACTTTCCTAAAACGCCCTAAAGGCAATCTGTCTCGTTGTGGATTGGTTAACGAGAACAATAGCTGGAACAATAGCCTAAACACGATTCCAGCGCTCCGCCATATTTTTTACAATGCGATAAATTAAAAGGGGACTGGAAACAATAAATAATCCCTTTGTTCTTATAATCAATCAACGTCGTGACAGATTGCCTTTAATGGCCTTCACACAGCCCTACAGTTTACATTTGAAAAGTAAGAAAATAACTTCTTGCCATTTCTAGATGTTTTGGTTGAAAAATCTGGCACTGGATTTCTCACTAGTGTATACCGTAAACCCACATTTTCGGGGTTATACACTCGATGGAGTTCGTTTTGCCCAAACAAAGAAAAATTAGCCTCATCAAAACGCTTACACATAGGGCACTGATGATTTATTCCAAGTCTAAACTTGACTCGGAACTTGAAAAACTAACTAAGATCTTTCTGGAGAACGGCTATCCAGAGGATGTCATTTCAGTTTACATTAAGGAGAAGATAGGAAATTTCTCGGCTGACGTAAAATTTGGGCCTCAAAAGTGCCCGGTCTATCCAAAACTACCCTGAATCGGTGACAGTTCCCTGCGTTTTGAAAGTCAAATAAAACAGGCCAATTGTTTCTTTGCAGTCAACCCACGTATTGTTTATAGTACGAAAAAGGCCCTTCCGTCCATTCAAAAGGACTGCGTTCCTGCCACACAAAAAAGTTCCGTTGTTCATGAATTTACGTGCCAGTCTGGCTACGTAGGACGCACCACCCAAAGATTGGAAGATAGAATAAAAAAACATGTTTCGCCTAGTACTAGAAACAAAACTCGTCCCCAAAGAGAACAGCCACCTCTGTCTTGCAAATCTAAAATTACAACTAAAACCTGCGATTCTGCTATCGAGCTGCATTTACTGGAAAACCCAGATTGTGCAAAAAATTATAATGGCGACATGTTACGAATTATTGGTAAAGCCCGATAGTCGTTTCACCTAGCAGTTTTGGAATCTATCTACATAAGCACGAAAAAAACGCTACTGTGTAGACAAAAGGAGTTCGTTTTCACCTTAGGACTCCATTGGTAACATTCTCAATAGGCAAGCGGCACTGATTGGTCAACCTCAACAGTCATATGCTCGTGTTTCTGGTTGGCCTATTTCGATCCACAACTGGGTATATAAATTTCCTAGCGTAGAGTTTTCGATCTATGTTCTGACGTTTTAAACTCTGAAGAGTGTCAGACGAAAAGCTTTAGTTTACTAAATGTTTGCTTTTTTCAAAGCCATTTTCAAGTTTTTTACCACCAAAAGATTGTTTATCTATTTATTCTTTGGTATGAGGCCAGAATGTCAAAACTTATTGCTTAACTATTTCCTCGTATTGGAAATATAGCGATTCAACCTTGTATTGGAAATATAGCATACTCAAACCAAAATGCTTATTCAGTGACATAGGGTCACATACCTGCCATTAAAACTAATCCAATAGACCCATAAGGTGTATTCGTTAAGTGTGATTTTACAATAGCTCGTGGATATAACTGTTACTTTAAAAAAACAAACATTTTTCCCACCAATCATCTCGCCACAACCTCTGTGGACAACGATATTGTGGCGTCCGAGGAAACATACAAGG